GATTTCAAAGTGGAACGAAACATTGGCTGGGAATGTTTTCACTGTAAAAAATCACCAGGCTGTAACCCTCGTTTTTACCAATGCCGGCTACGAATTGCAAAGCTTCGAACACGTAGGTTTTATGAGTGAATTTGTGGCTTCTGATTCAAAATTTATCCATGTGATTCGTTGTGAAATGTCATTCTCAAAACTTTCAGCGTCATTTCACGGACACCTACGATGACCCGTGCCGCTAAAACGGTTGTAAAGCGCCGCGAACGGAAGGAATAATTCCACGGTAATTGCAACGGCGATTCGACGAGATTTCGCGGGAACGGAACAGGAGGTGTTCAATATATTAGCGATTTCGCGCGAACGCAATGGAGGAGCCGATCGAATGAATTAATTTGCAACGGAGATCAGCAACAATTTGCTCGTACCAGGGAAAAATATCGTAGAATACCGGTTCGGCCGAGGAGTTGAAAACTGCTTCGAAAATTAATAGTCGCCCATTAATTCGAAATACCTACTCCACTGCGTGATACATTCGCAGTTGAACAACCCGATCATTAATTTACTTACTTTATGCAACGGTCTGGCAAGCTCGACGGGCATATTTCTTACGCGAAATTATATCAACTCGACCGGCCGACCGGCCTGCCCCGAGAGAGCCTGGAAACAGCTTGTCGCCCAAGTATTTTCGCGTTGCATTCATCGGCGCCACCGCCAAAATATTCGAAAGCGTATTTAGCAAGTATAATAAATTCGTGGTATCGTCGACGCGACAGAAGAGCATGGTCACCCGCCTCCGTGTAGCAATTTTCTGTTTTTTCGTAGACAAGGAACATAACCAAACTCTGGTGGCGGCGATGAATCGCGCGTGAAACGGTCCGACGGACAGTAATATGGTCATACGATATTCTTTTTCACAAATTTTCAAGGAACTTGATTAATCTTATATTTCGAATTACGTTGATACTTGTTTAATATCTTAACTGACATGTCACCCATATTCAAGTTAAGTTATGTTACATCAGTAAATTGTTGTTAGATCAGAATTTTACCGGTCTTAGTATGGTAGCTGAAGTGTTAGCATCGAAGATGTCAGATGAGGCATCAAATACTTATATTTTTTATCTCATACGTATAATTTCTGCATACTAAATGTGACACTCAAGGAAATAGTTACCGCTATATTTTTGCCGACGGCAGCCATAGCTCGTCAGCAAAACTGATGCACTCATTCAAGAGAATGAATTCTCTCATAGGTAGAATTATTTTTGGAGAAAATGTTATTACAAGTCTCCATAATTTAAAAATTTTGTTTTACAAATTTATAATTTTCTTTTGTTTCATCTCTAGTGAAAAAATAAACTTTCCAATTTACGTTTTACTTTCCATCACAGCACTCTACAACTTTTAACTTCACTATCATGTAAAATTTATCAACTAGTAAATTATTAATCAACAATTTAAAAAGAAAATTAAATTCCAAATTAGTTTAATGGATTCGCGCCCAATTTGTAAGTAAATGCAGTTTATAGCGGGAAATTCAATTGATCGGTGGTGATTATAAAGTTTACACCTTGGTTCGATAATTAAGAGCATGTGGAAGAGGCGCCATTTGGTGGTGTGCAAAGTGATATAGCATATATCCGAGTTTGAATAATCGAATTCAATAGAAATACGCGATTCCTCTGCGCCCGACTGGAAGATTGGACGAATTTATGCGAGCAATGCGCGGCCGACTCTCCCCCGTCCATTTAAAAATACTATCTAGCCGGCCATTTGTCAGGCTTAACTGTGTCTTGAAACCGTTACTTTTTATTGAATAACGTATAACACCTGCGAAAACACTTAATTCACGTTCAGCGATATATATCGTGGCTAGGGTATTAAATTCGCGGAAATTTAGGAAGATAGGACCGCAAGCGGAAAGCAAAAAGTCTGCAGTAACGCGTAGCTGGAATGATCGCGCTTAAAATGACCAAAAAAACAACCAACGCCCGTCCGTTTGTCGCGTTTTAGCGAACAAGAAGAACGAGAATCGAGACTCGCCAATGAAAATCAACGTACAGTGGCTCTAGTATTTATTCTCGCAACACGAACGCCTGTTTATGTAAAAGAATGATAATTACCATTTTAAAACAGTTAATTATTGAAGTTAAATCTAACAGATAAAATTCATATAGATTATCCAAGTTGACTACAAATAGCACTGGTACACATGCGACATTTGCACTTCGGGAACCTCGAAAATGGTAAGTTCGAGGGGGATGAAAGATGACTTTCGCCGACCTACCCACGGAATTTCTGCTACTTCGAGTACTCGCGCGTAATATCTCGGTTGAAGTTGATTCAAGAGGTCGCCAAGCTTTCCGTCATTCCACGCCTGGTTTGTTAAGTTTTGGACATTGCTTATCTCGCGACCGCGACCACTCCAGGGGGTACCACCTGGAACAGCAGAGAAAAGGAAGAGACGCGCACGTGCGTGCGTTTATATACGAACAGAAGGGGACTGGTTGAAACGTAAATGAAAGCTGAAGCGTGAAACAAGGGTAGGAGGATGGTTGGATGTTCGAAAATGGAGGAAACCGAGTTGAGTCGGTAAGGTGTTGTAGAGTCGAGAGGCAGCAGGGTTGGAAAAGCCTAGGACGGGGAGGCACAAGAGGTATCGGGTGACGTCGCGACGCCTCGAGCTCTCCGAGCAAGTTCTCGAAAGTGTCGGCTAAACTGATATGAGAAATGGCCGTTTCGTGCTGGCCGTAGGGGATGAAGGAACCTGGCTGTATCTATATATGAGCGTTAGGAAACGTTCAGCCACCTCGTGCGTTTCCAACATCCCCTCAATGTTCGATACGATATTCGCGACAATACAGGCCCAACGACTCGGTTACCGTCTTACGCCTTCGTGAACGCACCGAATTTATCGTGAGATTCGATCGTGGAACGTATATAATATCGTCTAAAGTACTTGAGAACGAAGGATTCGAAAGAATGCTAGATAAATGATGGATGCGGTTACGTGTCGTTTGGTATTATGGAATTTGTCAAACGAAGATGATACAAATAATTTTCGCCCCAATATTAAATATCCCATTTTCCAAAAACGGAGCAACATTGAGCCTTTTTCCTTTGTACCCTTCAATGTTGTCCGCGACGTTCAGTCAGTTTAGACGACGACAGCACCGTATTTTACGGGGGAGAACCGTCGAATCGCACCGTTGGGACACAGCCCCATCTAGGGAGGGGAAAAAGTATCGCGTCGTCGCTTTGACAAACTAATTATGCCCGGGTGCCATGAGGGGGGCCAGCGAGCGTTGCAATCGCCTAGCACGCTTGCAACTGGGCGTATGTATTTTAACAGGGTCGGTGAATTAATTCGGAACTGTAGTTTAATCCAGTTCCAAGTACTGGCGTAGTTGCTATTTCTACGGGATGAAACAACGCGACACGATTATTCCATGAATAAACGTGAAAGTCGAAAGAGGACTGGAGAATACTCACGGCAACGTGAAATATTAGTGGTCAACCGAGGGCATTTGATTACAGATGAAATTTCAGGATAAGGCTGTTGAACGAAGCTTAGAAGAACAGTTACGACCCAACAATTCCTGTCATTCCTCGCCTCCCTCGCCCTTAAGACGGGCTGAAGGGGTTTCCAAGAGTTCGAGCAGGAAGAAGAAAGTCCAAAGAGGGATGGTTGGAGGGAAAGGGGGGCAAAGGAACGCTTATCACTGGCTGCAGCCGCACCGACCGTCGGATCCTTATTTATGGTCCCCGTCAGGCGTCGGTGCGGTACACACTACCTATTTTACCCCCAGGCCTCGCGATACCAAACTCACTTTATTTTCGGCCAGGTTCTTTCCGTTTTTCCCGGGATAAATCAGAGGTTGCCCGTAAAACTTGATTGATTTGAGGGGAACCATATCGCGTCGACAGATAAAAACCCTAAGATACACCATAACCTAATTCTTTGGGTTACAAGTCAAGAAGACTCACGATTTCGAAGAACCAGACACGCCAAGTGTTAGGATTAAGGAGAAGAGAGATGAAATTAAATACAATTAGGGATTAATCGCAGCCAAGACAAGTGGAGCAGTTATTAACTTAAACTCGGTGATTATTTAGCATTTGGCACGAGTTCGCGGATTCCTTGGCGGACAACAGACGTCTAGTAATATTTATCGCGGGATGTTATTATGCCTCGGTGAGATACAAGCGTATCACTTCCAAGTGGTTATAGTTCTTCATTAACGCCGGCCGTAAAACACCGGTTTGACAGAACGAGATACAAGGAAAATTGATGCACGCTACCCCGACCGAGATTAATACCGTAATTGATATCTATACGCTTACGTGCAACCGTATACGCGCCGGGGAAAAAGAAATATCGTTGCGTTTATCGAAAATCACAGAGACTGCCACTTCATGGCGTACGTTCACGCGAAACCACGTGCACGTATTTATTCTTTCTTGCCGGGCCTCGTGTGCCGGAGCAAAAACCATACGCGTACCTACGCACAAGAAAACGCATCGCGGCGCGTATTATCCAGTTTTTAAGTGCGTTGATTATTTCCTTCAAGCACTGTTTTACCAAATTGGTAAACGCAAACGAATTTGCTTCGCAACGTTTAAAAACTTAATGAGACTAATTTGCAGCTTCCCTCACATTTTAATTACTTGTTTATGGCAAGCAGTTACTAAAACTAGATACACTAAACCCTCTACAACACTAATTTTTCATATCAAAATGGACCCTATCGACGAACTAGACAGTCCATCATGGGGCACGATTCTCACAGCCGTAATTCTTTCAACGACATCTTCAATCATTTGAGCATGTGCACTAGAAAGCAACATTTTGGCGGGAGGGAATTTTTTCAAACGTCAACTAAGACACGTTCGTCGAATCGCTAAGACACGTTGACCGGTCACGTGTTTGACGCTTTGGAATAAGATTGTAACAACAGGGAGCCGCGATTTATGGTGCAAAAATGAAAGCACATAATCTGACTCACCCTTTAATGCGGCTGGCCGGAGGATTCAGCGGAAGCAGAGTGCAGTCTGCGGAAGGGTAGTCCGCGTTCGTTTCCTGTAGCTCATGATAACGGTCGATCAGGCCTGGATCAGTTGTTGCATCTGGACGTGTCGATCGGTGCTCCAAAAGGTTGACGTGGCCGATCGAGGGAGATCGTTCGGCACGCGCGGGAAGCTACGATTTCCCGATCGCGATACCCGGTTGTCCTATTGGTTCGCGAGGACAAAAAGGACAACACGATCGAGAGGAGGCCGCGTGGATAACGGAAAATCGGCGGCTCTTTGGAACGGAACAGATTTCAAGCCGCGTTGAAGTCGAAGGCTCTGATCCACCTCCTCGCGTGTTTCGCGGAAGGCTCGGCTTCGACGTCGGACGCTCGCTCGCTCGGGTGACGCTCTCTCGCGGGCCAAAGCAAACTTGTCGGATGGCAATACGTGAGTTAAATGTTCACCGCGGATGGTTTACGGCCCGATAGTCCCCACCTCGTACCGCCACGCGGCGCTGCCTTCGTTCTCTCTCTCTCTTCATGCCTCTGCCTTGCTCTTTCGCCATTTCGTCTCACTCCAATCGTCTACACAACTCCGTTGGTTCTCTCTCTCTCTCTCTCCCTGCCACGCGTTCTCGCTTTCCTGCTCGCCCGGCATTTTCTCGTCGTTTATCTCTCTCGGTTTCACGAAACCCTCAAAACCCTCCTCTCTTCTCTAGCCCCCCTGCCCGGCTATCCTGTGGCCAGTGCAAAGGCGGGGAATCCGAACCGAGAGAGCAACAGAGAGAAGTACAGACAGAGAGAAAACTGACTGTGAACGAAGAACGAGCGATCCCCGAAACCCGCGATCAAGACGGAGACGAACGATTCACGCACACATGGCCGATCGCACACAGATGAGACGGGGATTTATATGCAAGGGCGTTGTTAATGGCGGGAGGGGGCACCGCGTAGGGTATAGGCCTGTGCCTCTCTCTCTTTCTGTTTTCGTCTTCTCTTCTAACCTCGTCGCTCCTTCGACCATTATCCGTCTCTTCTTCCTTCTACTCTCTAGTCTATCCTTATTTACAAGCACCGATTGGTGTCTTCTTTCTTTCGAGCACTCGTATATACACTCTGGCGTTTACTAAGGATATATTCGACGTCCTTCTCTATTCCCTCTCTCCCGTGTTGATTCTCGCGCGCGCTCAGGCTTACTGTTTCCTTCTTCGTCTGACCAACTGGCTCGTACCGCTCACGAGGATGGCCACGGTGACGTAACGGACCACGTGACTCGAAACGAGCCAATGGAAAGGGAGCTGTTTGAATCTCGCGGGCTAACTGAGACCCCACCTAGTGGCCCACCTTTAGGTCTGGTTATCATCGCATGCACATGCAGGATTGAGCCATTACCTGGTGCTTGGCGTTATAGGTATAATTATATAGCGTCGCGATACACATCGAGTAATGGTGATTTGTGGCCGCTCCTCTGCACACATGCTCGATTCTCTCTCTGCAACCACGTGGTGGCCGTAACCGCGTATACTCCATACTCTCCCTCTTTCCCTCTCGATGCTACCGGCAGCCTCCAGCCTTCCTCCGCGCGAATTATCGACGCGTAAAGAGTATACGAATTTAATTACTCCCTTATCTCTTTCGGCTTTCCTGTTTTCACGGAGACGTTCATTGCCGAACATTTTCTCCTCTTACGATACCACCTTTCTCGTTCCATCTTCTTTTATTTTCTTCTCCTTTAATTGCATGAATCTCCGATGAGCAATGAGAGGTAAATGGAGATTTGTTAATCGAGAAATTCACGTGATTTTTTCGAAGGAATAAAGAGTGTCGAACGCCGAAGCAATTGGTGATGTGTCACTCTGACATGATATATGTACGTTTTTTGTAATTGATCAGGATGTAAATATTTGATTAGAAGTCTGAAATGGGCCGTTATTGATGAACGCGTCCTTCAAACAGAAAATCATCGATCGACGAGCTGGCAATTGCATTCAAAATTTTTTCATTAGAGGGAAACGCGACCGTTGAAAGTACGTTCGTTGGTCCGACAATAACTTAGAAAGTCAATTCGTACGTCGTCACATTAATTTGAATTTGTCGGGAAAATGAACTCGCTAGGAAATTGTGTTTTATTGCACGGTCAGTTCCACTTCTGGTAACTCTGCCACAAAGGTATGCACCCACGTTTGACAATACACCCTCTTGCTCGTGAGGGTCGTCAAGGGCTGACATGCGTTCGAGCTGGTTCCTTCGTCCACGCGTTCTCGTTCTAGCAATGAACAATTTCGAAGAAGATACCCGTTATTATGGCGCATGACGCAACGAATGGTATCGACAAGCTCGATATATTGGACGATAAATAATGTTGCGACGTAAAATCAATGAATCGGAGCCCAGTCTCCTTTCCGTTTCGCGTGTTTGTTTTGCCGGACAGTATTAGCTCCGAAAAAGTCCGCAAAAACACGGGAACACGCGAAATAAATACGAATGCCCTGGCGGACCGGGCAAAAAAAAGAATGAATTCGCCGAGAAGATATATTACGGATCCTTTTATTAGTCCCTACCGTATTACACCGAGACTATTGCTCGTCGCGTCACAATTTCTATCACGCACCTGCTGCCCATCTATCAGTCAAAATTCGATGGTATTATATAAAATATGAGCTGAAAATACATACGATTTTTCAATTTTCCGTCCACGTTCAGTATGGCTAAGCTTCGTTTAAAACCCCCACAAATTTTTCATCGATTTCTACATCTTCTAACTCAAATACCTTTGGTTCGAAAGTTACTTTTACTCAGGAAATTAATTTTATATTCAATTTTCCTACAAAAGACTAGTCGGATTATTTAAAGGAGTTCTTGAAACGTATCTAAGCAGCTAGAGTCGGGTTAAAAGGTGTAGGTATGTAGGTGTTGGTAGTTTGACGGAATGTTATTGCGGCCATAATCGCAGGCGCCAACAGGTGCGAGCCCGCACAAGCCTATAGGCGAATGTATATACACGTAAGCTGGTAGTAGTGTATCGGCGAGCCGGTATACCTATATTACTGCCATAGGGCAATAAAGACCCCATCCCTATAATCTCTGGCGGAAACAATAACTAAACAGTCGGCGAAGCCGGCCAACCGGCACTGACCTACTACCAGTCGTTCATAATGCTAATGGCTGCTAGGTTGTCAATATTTTGACAGGAAATTAAGATGTGTCGGTTTTACCTCGACGGTTAACCGCTTTAACTACCCTCCATCCTTCCCATCATTCTCTCCTTAAAAGCAAATCGATTCCTACACAGAATTTCTGTTGTTTTCAAAGATAAAACACCCCCTATTTTTTACCTCGTTATGAAATACAAGGTTAGCAGAATATAGGTTTAGAAATTTCATTCCAAATAATATGTTGCCAATCAGTACACCTATAATACTCTTTTATACTTTGATCTGTGATACTAGAAAGAGGGCAGACATTTCACGCTTCATGGTGGAATTTCTTTAAGCAACAACCCTCAACAAATGTGTCCCCGTGTAACCGGGAGGGATTCTAAGCTTCCGTTGTCGGTCCATGGGATTAGCTTGATTGCGCGTGCAGGCGTCAGAACAAGGGGAATAATTGTCGTCGCGCTTTCTTTACGGGCTGTTTAACGCGGTAGGACAACCTAGGGTCCGATCCAACAAGATTGTTGTTTACCAAATTAGTCAAAGATTTACTCGATTCTACGATACAAATATAACCTTCGTATTATTGGTCTGATAAAACTAACATCTACAAAACGAATCCATAAATCGATGAGGATACGCTTCAAATACATCCAGGTGAAAATTGCTCTCACACTAGCCAGCGTATTTTTCACCAACCGACAAAAAAAAACGAGCTACCATCTTGTTTGGCACGCTCTCGTCTCGAACGAAATTTTCCACGAGAAAAGGTCGTAGTAGAGCATCGAAGAGAAGATTACTAGCGACGCGATGCTTTTCACCGTCGTGCCTCGTGGCTGTTAGCCCAAGCCGGGCACACGGGATGAGCGTAGGGTGTAGCTGAATGACGGGATTCATGCCCTGGCCGTGGACGCCTTGAATGGAGCTGGCGGAAGGGCTTCGGAAATTAAACGTCCTGTAGATGGTCTTTTTTCGCGTGCAGTAATGTACGACGCCCTCTCCCACCTCTTTTTCTCCTTCTCCTTTTCTTTGGTCGAATCCTTTGCTTCCCTTTCTCTGTTTCTTGGGCAAGGAAGAGGCTGGGGACCTGCCACGGCGGCCAGGACAATTTCGCCTGCGATAAGGAAGTAGATCGAGGCAGGAGATACGTCGCATCCTCTTCTCTATGTGTATACACGCGCGTCTACGCGTGGAAACCAGCGTCCATGAACGTTCATGGTGGTTGTTCAGGACTATTGCATCGTAAAACAACCACGACCGGCTGAACGTATTTCTCGTGAAATTAGGAACTCTTCCGGAGGCAGCTGTTTTTTGACGCTTAGAGATGTTCGCCTGATGGAATCTCGGGAACGAGAACCATTCGCTGGATACCACCATCTTGCTATTAATGCGCGCACTCACGAGGAAGCCGGTGTAGCTTTTACAGCTTGTTTATTTGTGTTTATATTTAGAAGGAAACGTGTAAAATTTCAGAAGTTCAATGAACTCTCAATTTCATAACTCTTTAACAATCGTTCTGATCAAGTTGAATCTAAATGTACAGTAATTATCATTTTCTATTAGTTTTTCCAGTTAGAGTTATAAGTAACAATTAAAACGAACACCCTTTAACCCGAAACTGAAATTATTCTTCACCAATCCCCAAATTTAACAGCATCGAATCGCAACGAGGATAAAGCTGGAACGATAAAACGTTGACGAACGGTTTAACGTATCATTCGGGGAGCGTATAAAACGGAACGCAAGATCGGAGCATATTTATTTTCCGTGCCATTTAATAGCCGGCTTGCCGCGACAAGACAATCACACGAGTTTGGAAAATCGTCGAGCTAACTTAACGGCCCTATAAAATCCGGATTCTGAGAGAGGGTGGGATGATACAGAAGCGCGCGCGCACCCACCCTGTCTCCAGCTTTTGCCAGGGCCACGCGCGCGCGGACTTTTACCCTCCGTAACGGGACCAGCTCCGGGACACTTCTTCCGCCACGTATATCCTCATTTGGCCGGCGTGTTTTACAACTCGACTCTCGTTTCACAACCGCTAAACGTGACGGATGCCTAGAACTTGCACGAACCTCACAAATCATAAGTGTCCCGGGAGGTCGCGCACATGTACCAACTAAACATACGCTCACTTAAATTCGACGAAACATATCGTGTTACGCAGTTACGCAACGCTTCCGCGTTTGAACTGGGGTCAATTAATTAAATCGCGGTAAAAAGTTGGATACAAACACGTGAAATTTTCACGCGACTCTCTGGTACGATTCAAGAGGCCGTAGAAGTATAGAGAGAAAGAAAGTATGATTTGTAGTTGTGCATACTTTCGCTAGTTTTCTAGGATTACTGTAACTAGCGATAGGACTAACTTCAGTAAAACCCTGCTTCTTAGTCGAAGTTGTTAGCTTAGCGCTTCGACTGTCAGGGTACTTTTGAACTCACTTGTGAAGAATCTCAACCCATCACTAATTGTAACCCCGTCTGAAACTCTAGCCAAGAAAATATAATAAATATCCTCTTTCTCCTCTATTTCAACTGTGACTCGCCGTCTGACATGGATTAACATTTCGCTTTCGAACGACAAACTTTGACGACCACGCGAGCAAACTCCTCTTCGTAATCCGTGGCCTCGCCGGCTGATTTATCGATTAAGTGTAACTTTTCCGTTCGCTTCGTCGAACTCCGAACTCCCTTTCCCCTCTTGCTGTTCGACGAATTCGTTTGGGAAGTTTACTCGTGAATCACCTTACAGGGGATAACTTTTTTGCAAAATACCGCAAAAAACTCGAGTATCCTTCCGCCAAGATTTCTATCGAGAGGGTGAGTTTCGAGGGGTGGCTACGTTTAATGGCGCACAGAAATCAAATGCAAAACAGAAGATATTTTTAAAGAAATAGAAAACAATCATTATTTTCTAATACAATAAAATAAGAACCAATTTGAACCAGCTAGATCAGGCGAGCACCTAACTGTGGCATAGGATTTACCAGTTATTTACAACAGGGCAAGCAAAGTTTACGCGGTCGAGATATATTTTGCGGCTCGAAACTGCGTCAGGATCAGCAAGATCCCTAATGAATCCGACCGAAGGACTCGACGGAGTTGCCCACCTCCGTCTTTTGCGAGGGTGCTTGCGAAAGTTAGCCGGCGGTTGCCGGTTTCTCGCAGAAGCCAAGACTTTGAGTCTCGAGTTTCCAACCAGCCGCGAGGATATCTACCTTACAAGGTATCGTTCCACCTTCCACGAACTTACGACCGTTTGCAATTACCTACACTTATAACTGTGTACGAAAGCTACGGATTCTCCGCGGTATCCGCGGTCCACTGCGCGTTCCATCGGCCCAAGTATTCACCAAGTTACTGTTATTCTTGCAACAGCCTGAGCCACGTAAATAACAAGAATACAGCGACTGGACGTGGCCGAGCCGAGGTTTATGGGGACGAAATGTAACCCCTTGACATAAGTGGAAAAAACTACCTCGCTTCGTATAACTATTTTCAAAACATTGCCTTTAGGCATGGAAAGAAATTAAAATTATAACAGGTGTAAGCGTAGAACTGTGTCAGTACTAGGTTCGGGAACATTCCCGACGTTCCCGTGCCCCCCCCCCAAGCGTATGTGTATATATATGACGTACCTAAAGACGATCGAGGCAGATTAAGAAAGATTCCGGGATAAACAACCAAAACGGCGTGGTTCCGCGATTTACGTAGAAAGACGGTGTTCGTGAATAAATTAGACTTTTGGATCCGGACGGAGAGACGAGTTTTATTTAAACACCCAATTTATGTCGAAACCGAAAAGAATCTTCAACTACACATGTGTTGTGGTCACAGAGTAACAAATTCAAGTTCTTAACAATTTAAGTTTCAGTTTGTGAACTGACATTTCGAGAAACTTCCCTAGGTCATAGAGTCGCATAAGCGAACGATAATAGCCAGCTGTCGTGCAACTTTTGCCAGCATTTCGTGGTCCATTACGTCCTACGTAGTTATAGTTGCATATTCTCTAGCTGACCAGGTCCATTTCGACCATGATGGTTGCGATACGGTCGCGTTATGGTTCACCGAGCGATTTGACGCCGAAACCAAGAGTCTTCGTAACTTAACCGAGGATAGAACCACAAAATAAAACAACTGCCCACTGATGGACCTGGGTCCATAGCGACCGAGCCCTACTTAGAAATTAAATGTTCAAATTTACCAATAACTTTCCAGTCGACAAAATAAATGTCACAATTAGATACAAAAAGTGTTAATTTGCTCGTTAACTGGATGAGATAGTTCAATGCCGTGATTCACAGAAAAAAAAAAACAAATAGACCCAGATGACAAGGCAACAGGAGTAATATCGTTTGGAGAATTCAAGCGACACCAGCACGGAATAATAGTACAACGCGACCGATAGATCAATTCGAAAACGCGGAGTTAATGATTAGCTCTCTCTCGGTTCTTGGCAATTTATCGGCCAACGCTGGTAACCCGGTGCCGGGAGTGACTTCGATGGTTAATTCGCAGATAAGCACGCATCGGAAATGACGAATCGCTGGTGCACGGGCGGCGAACGAACGCTCAAGAGAGTTAGTTTCTCGCGCATAAATAAATGTGGCGGACCGTGGCATCGTGGTCTTCGCGAGCTGCCGCCACTGAGGCCGACGAAGACCATGGAAAAGAGGACGATGTGATCGTCGTACGCGTCGCAACGCCATTCGTAGGTAGGTGTACAATACATATCTCCATATACAGGGTGCTACATTTGAATTGAGCACTCGGAATATCTTTAAAACTTTTAATGATACCAAAAAACGTAAAACCTCTGACGCAGGAAAATATCGAGAATCTAGTGTACATTAAAAAATATATAATTCTATCAAAAAAAACAAGAAAAAAAACAAAACAAAGCTAATCTGTACGTCTGTCTATAAAAAAATTATTTGCAGCAAATTATGTTCCTTGAAATAATCCAATTTTCAGCTGGAATACTGTTCGTCGTTAATCAGCCATTTTGAAGATATTTATGATGGTCGAATGAAATGAGACACCCTGTATTTCCAGCAGTTCGGCCATGAGAGTCTTCAACCCCCTTTTTCTCCTCCCACTCGCGAAGACACGGCCGAGTACGCGAGATAGCGAGAAGGGAAGGCGAAAGGGAGCGAGAATCAGACAGGACGCAGGGAAAAACAGAGAAAGAGTATAAAGTTCTCTTGGACACACACGGACCCGACGCATACGTAGCCCATGGTGTACCAGGTATGGCGTAGTGGCGAGGCGGCGTGTTGGTAGCGATAAATCATGGGTTACCACATTGTAGCCCAGTAAATCATCGGACGCGGGGAACGCGAGAGCTTCCCAGCGTGAAATGAAACGAATTCATCTCTGTCAGTCCCCACTACCTGCCCTTGTAGTCTCATCTCTTTCTCTCCCTTTCTCTTTCTCCCTCTTCCTCCTCTCCGACCACCATCACCATCACCACCACCCTCTCGCCCCAACTCTCCTGCTCTCTCGCCACCTTTCTCTCAACTCTCGTTGTCTCGTTTTATCTCATCCACCGCCGCCATCCCTCGATTCGCCCAAAACTCCCCATACCTCGTGTTTTCTATCCTTCGCACGCAACTGGATAGGGTGGATACACCTATATATACACCATCGCTCTCCCACATATTTACGTTCCTCCTGGTTATACATAATACTTGCTTCCACATACCCTCGTCACGATTCTTTCCAAAGAATCATCCAGAGTCTTTCGCACGCGGTATTCCTTCATATTCTACCAGCGTTCCTTCTTTCACCCTCTTTTTTTTGGTTCTCTCCTCAGCTTCCTCGCCATCGCGCAAGAGTGCCTCCATTATTCTTTTCTCGAAAGTGTTCTTCTTTCGGTGGCCGATACCTGGTCACGCCCGCGCTCGTTTTCATTTTCGACGAGAGTTTATTAAACCCTACCGCTGGCCGCTATTGTTGCGGCCAAACTTGGAATACCGGGGAAGTATTCTATTCTTACGGACGCTCAGACCTGATGAGGACTTTGTAGAGAAACGAATCGCACAGCATCACCGATGCAAAATCGCAAGATAAAAGTCGTTCGAATATCCCTTGGACTAAACCGCGATTGTTCTTTAATACGAGCTCGTAAATCAGACGACATTTGTCTGGCATTCGTTCCCCTTTTACCAACACCAAAGACACCGTTTCGAATTTGCGATGATCGCAGCCCCCGAGGGATCGAACGGAGGTCAAACGCGGTGCCTCCCTAACCCCATCACCCTCACGAGTATTTCTGTGAGAGACAAACCCCGAGTGTTTTCAACGCGGATCGTCGATCGTCCATTTTGTTCAGGAACGCCTTCGGTACGCGTTGATTTTCTTTCTCCGTGACGTTAAGTCATGGCCAGAGTGGCGATGCTGGCGGCGTGGGTGCACGTCGACGCCGCGATATTTATTGTAATTTGATACAAGCGGACTACCGACAAAAAATTGCTCCTAGCCAGCTCGAGACTAGCCGCAACGGTGGGGATGAAAGGGTGGGGGGTTAGGAAGGAGAGCCATAGATCGCGACCAGCTCAGACGCAGCCGCACCCCCGCCTTCTTCAACCCCCTTGTGTGACTCGCTATCGTCCCGATACTCCTAGTTTCTCCGAACCCTACGGGTACTTCAACTTTTCCCTTTGTATTCCTTTCCCTTCTTATAGCTCGCCATCGTCCACCCTACCTCACACTCTCACTTTTTCTTTGTTCTCTGATCCGACCTTCCATTATTTCAAGTAAACACAGTGGTGACCGATAACCCGACAAAACGAGCCGACTTCTTGATCAGATCGGTAAACAGGAAAGTTCAAATCAAACTTTGAAAAGCTGTAAAAGTTACGAATTTAGTCGGCAAACTAATATTTTCACCGCAACAGCTAATTATTACGCCGTTCTTGTCATTTTTTCGATCTATTTGGAATTTAATTTAACGGTACTGCGAGTACCAAGTTGATACCTGAAATGGCGCACTGTTACATCGTAAATTTCGCGATAAATCGCACGCACGCATGGAACGGTAACACAAATACGGGGGATGGTCCGTGCGGACGAACGTAGAAATTGTTGCTGACGAGAACGAATATTTCGCGCGCTCGTATTTTCCCTGTAATTCCGTTTGATTTAATCGGTTGCCGTGGAACGACGATTTTTGGTCATTTTCCATGGGGTTCATTCGCGTCGCAGATCGAAGAATTACAACGTGCGAGACAGCAAGTGTTTGAATCGCGCGAGGAGGCGTTCTACTGTCCGAATAGATCTTAATTAGCATCGACCGGATTCTAAAACATACTGACCATTCATCATTCTCAATTAAGCCACGCTTGCGTGATAAATGGCGCTGCTGTTTGGGTGACAAAGACCGAACGAATCGTCATCCATTACTATCGAACAATATCCCTATGGACAGGGTTACAAAAAATTTA